TTGAACAAAATAACTCAAAGCAAGAGGGCAATGATTAGGCAAAATAATGGAATCCTTCATGAATAAAGGAAGGTTTAGGAGCCTAAATATTTGAGCAAACTAACTCAAAGCAAGAGGGCAATGATTAGTAGTAGAAGTTAGAAAGATACGTGGTCGTATATATCTAGCTCAGTGGGAATGATAATTGTGTGTGGGTAAAGGCGAAGCATTAAAGATAGAATCACAACGTTTTATAGGTGAAGGTTACCTTGACCGACTTTGCTTATGAAAAGAATTAACATTGAAGAAATGGGCAGGATCAATTAATTTTTATAGTTGACTCTTCTAGATTTATTAATCCTTCCACCGATTATCTTCTTTGAGCTGAGATCCTATAAGGCACAATGAGAGGTATACAAAAATTATTGAATAGTATTAGTTCTGTTAATACAATGAATAGGAATATGTTGGCATGAAATTGTGGGACGGAAAATATTTGAGGGCTAAGGTTTTTGAATGTTGCACAATGAGATGCCTTAAGAAATATGGGGAGAGATGGAAAGTTTTTACAACTACTTGCCATTCGGGAAGAAGCACTTGATTTTGAAACTAAAAACGTATCAATAGAAGTAGCTTCTTTAGTGGAGACAACATAAGACATTACTGTTGAATCTGTTCATCTTGGTCTTTTTAAGAGAGTAACTGATCTTGAGGATAATGCACTAGGAGTAGGCGTGATTGATTTGGTTGTAAAAGCACGATGAGCAGTATAGGGATAATTAATTTCTCCCTTCATTTTGGACGATGGTTGGTGTAGCTATAATGAGGGCATGAGAGAAAGATATTCACCGCAACCACAATTTCCCTTGCCATCATTAGAGTTAGTGATCTAGGAAGATTGGTGAGTTGCTGGTAAAGTGCAGAGCTTTGTGAAATCAAGAACATGTGGGATAGTTGTGATATTACCAACAATGGAATCTATCATCAAATATGATTGTACACCCAATATGGAAGAATGCAAGCTGGGGTTAAGTTTGGCTCAAGGAATTCTTTATTATATTTTTTTTCAAATGGTTGGATCCATAGAAAAAGGAGTGGCAGAAAAGTAAATTTTTGCATTTCCTTCTTAGTGTGCTGTGATATTTCCGGATCTACTCGTTATTTTGTTGAGGAGATGATAATTTTTGATAAAAAGTTTAGATATGTGAGATATCATTTTTCTAAAATTATATGGATCAAAGAAACTTCCACACATTTTTGGCGGAATTCTGAAACACAACATTTGGAGCATTGGACGGTGTAAGACTATGTTAGTTAGGTTCTTGCTTTTTGAGAATTTGATGTTGATGTTATTTAAAGGAGATGCATCAATATATTTTATTTTCCTTCTTTGAGAAAAAAAAGGAAGCAAAGCACCCTTGACCCTGGGAGACCATTAGTACCAACCAGTGAATTTTATATATCAATAGTAAAGATTTTACTTTAAAATTGGAGTGAGAAGCAATGGTTTCTTTTGGAATAGAGGAAGGGGGAAATTGAAGAAAAAAAAAATCAGATTATGGACATTGGGAGTCATGGGGTAGTCATGTTGTAGGTAAGTGCAATTTTATGAGAAAACATGCGAACTAGAGTTGGGAATGGGCATGCTAGCGAGGTTGGTAGCGGCCACACGAGTGTAGACAAGGAGTTGTTGTTATTGTTATTGTTATTGTTATTGTGTGCAAGAAAATCCGTGGGTGGATTCATGTGCCTATGTGTTTAATAGGGATGCAAGAGAGATGTGGCATATGAGTGAGTGGGTTGCGATTGGGAGATGCACATGAGAGTGTAAGTAGCCAGGGTAAGAGTGATGAGATTGTGAGGTGGGCACAACTAGGACAAGGTTAGCCTCACTTTGATATAGTGTTATTAAAAAATCTATTTTTTTGACTGAATATAGAAGCCTGTATATAACCATATGAGACAATACAAAAATTAAACTAATGTTGAGGAGAATATTCTCAATTATGAATGGATGAAATCATGTCTCCCTTATATAACACTTTCTAGTTCTAAAGACACTTCTATTATTTTTACAAGTTTACACTTTTTATCTGTTTTTAATTAGTGGGTAAGTTGGCACTTGCAATGTATTGCGAAAGAGAAAAATAGTTTTACATGACATTTCTAGCTGATTGAATATGGACTTAGAGCAATGATTAGGTCAGTTAACACCCAGCTCTGCACTTAGAATTAACTAAGGCGGGAATTGCTGCCGGACGACATTAACATTTCATTTTAGTTTTCAAAATTTATGAAACTTCCAATATGTATAAAAGAGCTACGAATTCAATAAATGCAATAAAAATTTAACCATCCAGAAACATCGTAATCAAAAGACATCTCAGACTAACATATAAAGTGTCCTGCACTTCCATACAAGGTTTCATATGGAGCCATCACCATGCTAGCTTGGCAGCATTTATTATAAGCAAAACTCTACTAAAGGTATATGTGATTCCCAACCTTCACCAAAGACAAGAACACATAACTTTAGTAAATCCTTCAAGGTATGAATAGTCTTTTTTGTCTGATCATCTATCTTAGGGTGAAATGATGTACTAGAAGTCAGTCGAATGTCGAAAGCTTCTTGATCCTTCTTCCATAATTTGGAAGTAAACCTGTCATCTCTGTTAGAGACAATAGACTTCGACACTCCATGCAACCTCATAATTTGATTCACATATAATTTGGCTAAATGCTTAACTTGATATGTCTGTCTAGTAAGCAAGAAATAGACATACTTAGTCTATCTGTCGACAATTACTCATATAGCATCATTATTCTGATGTGATCTTGGCAAACCAATAACCAAATTCATCGCAATCTCCTCCCATTTCCACTTTGGAATCGACAAAAAGGCTGTAACTGACCTCTAGGACACTGATACTCTTCCTTCACTAGCTGACATGAATTACACTTGGCCAAAAACTTTGCCACACTTCTCTTCAACCCTTGCCACGAAAATGCTTCTTTGAGATCCTAATACATTTTATTGCTCATTGGGTTTTTAGTTTATGTGGATGGATGTGCTTCCTCTAGAATTTTCTTCCTCAGATCATCATTTGAAACTCTTATCTTTATATCTCAATAAACCATTATGATCTATTATTACATCTCTATAAATTGCCTGCCTGAACCTGCTCCAAAACTTTTTGAATATTGTTATCTCTGGCTAAACAATCTTCAATTCTGTCATTTAAAGTTGTTTGCATCGTCAACAAATATAATTGAGCCATATTATCATCACCATAATCAACAATAGTCAACTTCAAGTTCTCCATATCTTTAATTACCTGCTCCTACGGTGAAAATAATCAAATTACCTGAAGTTTTTCTACTCAACTCATCTGCAACAACATCTGCCTTCACAGGACGTTTATTCTGGCATTCTTTATTGCAGTCAAAAAGTGACAGTATTCAGACATCCAATCCATGCCTAAAATCATAACGATCTGACCAATCAAACTTCACTGTAGTTTGAGTCAATCTTGATAGTGACATAAAAATCTGTGGAAATCCCTCAAGAACTTCTTTAATAACCAACCAGACCTCAAAGACTCTTGACCTTAGTGACAGTAATAGACCTTGGCCAATCTACAATCGCCTTAATCTTATTCTAATCAATAGATATGCCATCTTCACTAATAATGTGCCCAAGAAAAGCAAGACTTTTAAGCTAAAATTCACATTTAAAAAATTTGGCATAAGGTTTATTCTCCTTCAAAATCTGTAACACGTAATGTAAATGATATGCATGACTGATTTCATCCATCGAATACACCAGAATATCATCTATAAAGACGATCACAAAAAATATCCAGAAACTGCCTGAAGGCCCCGTTCATTAGGTTCATGAAAACTACTGGAGCATTTGTCAGTCCAAATGACATCACCACTAATTCATAGCGCCCATATATGATTTTGAAATAGGTCTTAGCTACGTCTTTTTTTTTTGGTCCTTAGCTGGTGATAGCTTGAATGAATTATAGATTATGATGTGAAGATGTCGCGGAACCGCGGAACAAAGACATCCCTTTTGTGAAGATTGCTATTTTGGAGAAGGTCTCTGAGATGCAAGAAAGATATCCTCAACTTCTCTCTTGAGATATGTTACTCTTATGTTTATTTTCAAATTTTGAGGATGAAATTTTTTAAGAAGGGGAGATTGTACTAACATAAATTAAATAATTAAAAATAAGAAAATAATAATAAATAAGTAAATGATAATAATAGGTGCAGCCGTTTGGAGAAACATGTCTCTTCATTCTTATCATCGAGTCGAGACTGAAGAGGAAGTAGGGTTGTCGTGTCATTGACAATGTATGCTCGTGAAAAGAAAGAGGAAGGAGAAGGAGATGTTGAAGGAGAAAGAAGAAGCGTTCGCAGTGCTCATGTGAAGAGACGTTGGAGGAAGAAACTTTCGATGTCGAGCACCTTCTAAAGGAAGAAGGCTGCGAGTGTTCTGGGCCGGATCGTGACAAGGTCGATTCTATTGTAACTGCAGGGTCTTGTTTCCATTGGTAACTTGGAGATCACATATTTTAAACATGGAAACCACCTATTTACAGTGAAGTTTAAGGCATGCATTAATGCCCCTCCCAAACTAGTATTTTCTAGAGCCTCGTGTGCAGGACATTGGTTGTCTCTAGCCTGTGTTGAATTTGATACTTGAATGCTGGAAAGGGTCTCTCTGATTGATTTCGTTTCTGATTCTTAAATGTTAAGCATTGATTTTTATAATGCTGGTACATGTACATGCAAACTTTAATTAATGTTTATGTGAGTTTTTGTAGTTTATGCATTGTATATGTTATGTAATGTGGTGTTGAATCGGATATCCTACCAGTTATCTTTCTACATGTGCTGTCATGCAATATTGTTGTTTGCCATCTTAATTATGCTCTCTCTTAAGACTGAGTTTTATCTGCATTGTCAATGTCTTTCTCTAATTAGTTAATTGTTTACTTTTCTGTTTTCAGATAAACAGAACTATTAGTGAACCAAGGAATGCAGGAGTTATTGGTGATAGAGGAGGGTCATTTTCAAGAGAAAGTGAGTAATACTTTTGAGTTCAAGTGTTCAGCATATTTATGATTGATTTTATGCTTCTTAGCTTTTAACAAGAAAGCACTTTTAACAAGAAAGCACTTGAGGAAGAATTACAATGCAACTATCTGAATTTTGTTGCAGTTTCTGTTTCTCGTGTCAATTTTTTAGTTTCCAGTAGAGTTTCTTGTTTCCCATTTACGAATTTTTAAACACGCTCCAGAGCTTTGCCAAATGTTAGTTGGAATAATGCTGTATGATCTTTGTAAATGTAGAGTTAATTTTATATGAATGAAACAGTATGATGCTTATGAGAAATTGATCATCATGCTCAGCAAGGTAAAAATCATTTTCTATTGGGTTTTATATAGGTAGTATAGCTTAGATGAATTGCCTGAGTTACTTGAGCGCGAATTGTGTCGTTTGATTCAAAATCTGTATATACTCTCATTTGATAGATTGAGTGTAATTCCATTGGATTATTATATGGAATGCCCATTCTCTGGTGAAATAATTATGCTATATAAGCGCCCTGAATGTATAATTTAAAGTTATGATGCTTGTGTGTCCAGGCAGAAAGTTAAGAATAAACACAGATGGTTTCCTCTGATGAAACTTGTTCTATTTTCATGTTTTGATAAACGTAACACCGTTGCATACTCTTTTAATATTTATTGAAGTTCAATTTTTTCATTTTTTTTTTAAAATGCTTTAGAATGCCTTTGGCGCCATTTGGGATTTTCATGCTAAGGGCATTAGAATTCACAAGATGTACTTAACTTTGTTAACGGACTTGACTTGAGGGTAACAAGCCATTACTTAAAGTCAATACTATGGCTTCTTCAGACATCAGGAGATAGTTATTATATGAAAAATCTTTAAGAATCTTTATATAACAGACAGGCATTATATATATTTTCATATGAGTTTTTTAGAAATGCGTCAATTGTATATAATCAAAAAGAGTCTATGCATTGCATATTTTACACTTGAAGCTCTCCAGCCCTAATTATTAGAAAAGATAAGTCTGAAAGCTATTTAGAAATTATTTGAACCATGCATAATTAGTTCGTCATTCATTTAGAATTGCTTTTTAAAACAGTTGGACCTTCTCCAGTCTTGATGAAACTTTATGTAAATATTTCTACGTGTTCCAATAATGATGTACTCATTCATAACAGTGGTCTCCTTTTGTTAAGTTTGGTCTATAAATGCCTTCTGTTATTCAAACACTGCAAAAAAATTTTTTTGAACGACTTCTAGTGGTTTTTAAATTCCAATTAGTGTCCTTCAAATTCCAATAAAGAAGCAATTTTGCATGAGCTAATGGTTCTATAAAATAAACCACTTAAAGTCTAAAATAGTTTGTTTATTGAATTTATTGTCACTTTTCAAATGGTATATTGTTTATAGTCCATTTTTTAAATATTGTCAAATTTTATGTTACATGATTTTTTCTTTCATTTTAATTCTTTATAAGAGCCTTCTTTCAAATTTTTATGTTGTATAATGACTTTTGTGTTTTAATGAGCTGAAAAATATTTTGCTACTCTTAGGTTCTTCAACTGTGGACTGGACACAGGAACCAGACTTTTCAAACTGGTTGGATCAGCAAATATTACATGCTGAAAGTGTTCAAGAAGGCAAGAGATGGTGGTCACAGCCACACTCATCTCCAGCACGGCATTCTGAATCAAGGTCATTGTACAGAACATCATCTTACCCGGAGCAACCCCTGCAGGAACAGCATACGAGTGCTCCTATCCTACCCAAGTCGTCCTACACATCTTCTTTGTACAGAGCATCCTCATACCCGGAGCAACCACTGGAGCAGCACCATATGAGTGGCCCTATTCTTGTACCCAAGTCATCTTACAAATCCTACCATCTTCCTGGTGGTCAATCACAAGCTTTACCACATCAACCAGATATAACATCTCTTATTACAGGAACTCGGCTGCCTTTGTCAGCACCTAATCTCTCACCCTTTTCTGCTTCTCAGCTTCATATGTCAGGACTGCTTCGTGGTTTGCCATACGCCGGAAACATTGCCCAGTTTACTCCAGCTCTTCCAGCTAATAACAGGCCACAGAGTCAATGGATGAATGATCCTTCCCTTTTCGCCGGAGAAAGCCACAGTCCCCTACTGGGTTTGTTGCAACAACAGTTGCCTAATCCAAATGGTTTGATGACTACGCAACTTTTTCCACATCAGCACCAGCAGCGGCTACATATCAAACCATCTCTACCCTCTTTTTCACAGTTGCAGGCTCAGCATTTTAGTCACCTACCGTCCTCTTATATGACAAACAATTTTGATGCAATTCCTGGCATTTCAATGCCAGAGTTCAGAGACCATAGGCCAAGAACTTCACATAAAGGAAGACAAATCATGCGATGTTCTCAACAGTCTGCTGACACTGGAAGTTTGAAGAGTGACAGCGGGTCATTGCAGTTTAAATCAAAATATATGTCTTCGGAAGAAATAGAAAGCATTTTGAGGATGCAGCATGCTGCTACGCATAGCCATGACCCTTACATAGATGACTACTACCACCAAGCCTGTTTGGCAAAGAAAACTTCTGGTTCGAGGTTGAAGCACCAGTTCTGTCCATCATTCATCAGAGATGTACATTCTCGCACCCGTTCTAGTAGTGAGAAACCTGCGTATCTTCAAGTTGATGCACTTGGCAGGATTTCATTTTCTTCCATCCGTAGGCCTCGCCCTCTACTTGAAGTTGACCCACCATCTGTTCTGGGTGATGGAAGCGTTGAACAGAAATCTTCTGTGAAGCCTCTTGAGCAAGAAACTATGTTGGCTGCAAGAATCACCATTGAGGATGGTCTTTGTCTTCTCCTCGATGTGGATGACATTGACCGGCTTTTAAAGTTCGGCCAAGCTCAAGATGGTGGCTCTCAACTCAAGAGGAGGCGACAGGTACTTCTGGAAGGTCTTGCAGCCTCCCTTCAACTTGCTGACCCTCTTGGCCCTGGTAAAGCTGGCCACTCAGTAGGGCTCAGTCCAAAGGATGATCTTGTGTTCCTGAGACTCGTCTCCCTTCCCAAAGGCCGGAAGCTGATCTCACGCTACCTCCAGCTTCTTTATCCTGGAGGTGAGCTTACTCGGATAGTCTGCATGGCGATCTTCCGCCATCTGAGGTTTTTATTTGGAGGCTTGCCCACGGATGCAAGCGCGGCAGAAACCAACATAAATCTTGCTCGGACTGTTTCCTCTTGTGTTTATGGCATGGATCTCAGTGCACTGAGTGCTTGCCTTGCCGCTGTAGTTTGTTCATCGGAGCAGCCACCCCTTCGACCACTTGGAAGTACCGCTGGTGATGGTGCCTCTATCATCATAAAATCTGTCCTTGAGAGAGCAACTGACCTATTGACTGATCCGCTTGCTGCCAATAAATACAGCATACCCAGTAGAGCTCTGTGGCAGGCATCTTTTGATGCATTTTTTACTCTTCTGGCAAATTACTGCCTCAGTAAATATGACAGTATAATTCAGTCTTTGCTTCTTCAGGTGCCTGGTGCTAACCTTGTGGGTTCTGAGGTCAACAGGGCTGTTAACAAGGAAATGCCCGTGGAGCTACTACGTTCCAGCCTTCCCCACACAAATGATCTTCAACGTAAACAGTTACTTGATTTTGCTCAGAAATCTATGCCTGTTATTGGATATAGCACTCATGCAGGTAACAGCGGACCAATGCCTTCTGCGTCAGTGCCCGGTTAAAATCTCCATTTTAAGTGGCCGAATAATGCATCTCCATAATCAATCATGCAAGGACCCCCCCTGGGCTAGTTTATATATGAATGCAAAGCCTTTATCACCATCATTATCCGCGTCATCATCGTTGTCATTCGAAGGAGGCTAGCTTTTGTTGAAGTTTAGGCGAAATTGTTCGTTCTTTAACGAGCAGATATCAGTTTCACCTTGTCTCTTTTCTGAATTTGGTCTCGTCTAACATGTAAGCTTTAGAAACTGTGGGGAGTTACCGGGAGGTTTCTTCTTCCGGGGAGCTTTATTTTGTTCGCTCTGCATGGGAACTCCAGTAAATTTATTAGTGTCCTGAACTATACAGGTTTGATCCTGGAGACCGATCGTTTCTGCAGTTTTAAGACTTGAAACTGTCAAAAAAGGTACTTTTATGCGTGGACTTGCTGGTGTAATTATTCTATTAGAATCTTTATTTAGAGGCTTCATTACTTTTGCATGAGAGCATGGTTTTGTTTTCTTTTTAGAGTTAGTCTTTTAAAACTAGTTAATCTAGTACTATCCAGCAATTCCACTTCCTACGTAGGTCATCTTAGTTTGCTACTATTGGATCAAAGTTTACTTCAGAAATGAATAAGCCTAAAGGAGCGAGAGGGTAGAGGTTTAGATTTCAGTGAATTTCTTAGAGGTTTAGATTCAGTGATTTTCTCAAGATATACTTCAGTTCATTATTATTATTTAAGCGTATTTACATGCATAGCACACAATTGTATTGCATATCTCATACCTAAACTTATTTATTTACACAGCACTCAAATGTTTGTTATCACAGAAAAAAAAAAGCATGATTATTTCTTTTCGAAAGTGAAGTACACTTTTTCATGCATTGATTTAAAGCACCAAAACGTTGTGTAAATATGAAAGTTTAGGTGTGAGACATGTAAATAGACAATAATTGTGTGCTAGCGATGCGAATGTCCTAATTTAAAGACTTAATAGTTATTTTTGTTTCTTATTTTTATAATAAACAATTCCACTTTTAAAAAATTTACAAATATGTTCTTGAACTTTCTAATGCTCTGGCTCTCTCTCTGTTTCCTGCTCTTCTTTGAGTATGCCTGCATCGAGTAATCTCCATACTCCGTTGTCATTTTCATTGAATGCTTCTTATCTGCTTTCCTTTACCTTTTTAAGAAAATTGTCTTTATTCGGTTGAACTTGTCTGCATTGAATGGCCCAATAAACAATAAACATATACCAAGCATGTTGATCAAGAGCTTAGACTATCAATCAAAGTGGTCCTGACTTTAGTTCAAGACCTTGAATATACTATGCCCGTACATTTTGCATATTTGTGTAGATTTGCTCAAATGTTTCGAAAAAAAAAGGTCTATTAACTTTGTTTTTAACTGGCAATGGTTTAACTGCCAATGGTGTTCCGTATCTAAGCAACTTGCAAAGTGTCACAAACTTAAAACAGTGTCGTTTCATTTCTCTGCTGAATGGCCTACAGCTGTTATCTGCATAAGAATTCGTGCTGCTGTCTTTTTTATTTTTTTTCTTTTAATTTTGGATTGGTGAGCTTGGAGTATAAAGTTTAACTTCCAAAATACAAATTATTGGTCATGTATATTCTGATTTTAGCAAATTTATAATGAAATTGAATGTTCAAGTGAGATGTCAAGTGAGATGAATCAAATGATAAAAAAAAAAAAATCCATTTCAAAGCTAAATGTGCTCATATCAAGCACCTGAAGCTTAATAGCAAACTTTGGGATATTAAATGGAGGACATTGACATTCAAATTTTTATACTTGGTTAAATCTAGTGACTCAATGAGAAGAATCTTAGTCTAAAATTATCCAATTTTGATATCATTTAAATATTTAAATATTCAAAAATTATCACATGATCAATGAAATGCCTCTCAATCGTCCGGTTAGCGTTATGGAAATCACCAGCATATAAATTGGGTATTTTTGAATTGGGTGATGAGAAATCTCAGGTTTATTGGTCAAAATGATAAGGATTTAGATGAAGGATGTTATTAGTATAATTCAAGCTGGATGGTTAAAGTGGAGGATGTATCGGGTCTATTGTGTGATAGGAAAGCACTGTTTGGACTTAAAAGGAAAATTTTCTAAGATGTTGACGAGACTTACAATGCTTTATGGTGTAGAATGTTGGCCTATGAAAGAAAAGCATAAGACTAAGCTAAGTTTTGCTGAGATGAGTGCTTAGGTGGATGAGTAGCTTTACACTTAGAGATAAAATGCAAAGCGAATATATCTGTGAAAGGGTTGGGGTTGTTCCAGTGACAGACAAGATTAGAAAGAGTCATTTTAGATGGTTTGGTCAAATTAAACGTTGGGTAAGTAAAGTAGATGTCTCAAATTAGACTCATTTTAAAAAAAAAGGTGGGCATACTATATAAAAAAATGATCTTAACTTATTTGAATTAGGTGAAAATATGACACTCAATAAAATATAATAGAGAAAAGGATTCATGTAACCGACCTCCATAAAGGTTTGTTGTTGTTGATTAGGAGTCACTTGTACCCCACAAAATTTATATGCACATGGTGAAATTTTTTGTACTCATATAAGTGGTGCTTTTTTTAAATACTGTGCAAAGGAGTAAACATTTTTTTTTTATATCATTAATGTCCAATACGCAGCCAACTTGAAGCATGCCATGTGATTTGTTGGATCCTACTTTCGTTTATAAGAATGCAAGTGTGAAATTTTAAATTTTGCTGAGGGTTGTCCCGGCTATTTCTCTAGATTATGTATTTGCAAAATAAATTAACGAATTGCAACCCTTGGAGTAAATTTAGAAACAATTTACAATATTCCCTGAATCCACTTTTTAATTTATTCTTCCATCTTAATCATCTTTTTTTGAAAAAGTCTCGGCCTTTAAGTAGCTCGAGTCCAACACAAATCCACATTCATTGCACTCTTTAGCATGTTGGAACCAATTTTTTGAATAAATAATATAATAACATTAACAATGTAGAATATTTATCCGCGACATAATGATTAAGGGTGTACTGTGTCACTATTAGGTTACATGTTTGAATGTTACCTATTACTTTTATTAACCTTTTTTTTAGACCGCATTACCTTCTTTTCCATGAATGATATGATAGAACAAAGGAAAATGATAGTTATTTTATATTTTTATTTAAAACTCTAATGAATGTTTGGGGTGATCATTGTTATTTTCTACATAAAGTTAATATATACTTTAGTTTATTTTATTTATTATATAGATAAAGTTGTGTGATTAAAATTGAAGCAGTGCTTTAGAGGAATGTAATGTTTTGCTTTATCCTTCTCATTGGATAGTGACATTTGATATTATAAGAGGTATGTAGAGAAAAGGTTGTGGTTATGTCTTTCAAGTTTCGTCAGGTTTTTAATTAATTTTAATTTTCTCTGATCTACATTTTACTTTTTGATTATCAAATCATGATGGAAGGAAATACTAAAGACAAGATTTCAGAGAAAGATCTACATCTTTTTTTCGCTACAAATATTTGATTAGTCATTCAAATATTAAATATTTTTATATTTAAAATTATTGAATATAGTTTTATGTGTTTTAGATTTTATAATGTAATTTTGATCACTTTTTAGTTAGTATTTGCATGTAATATATCATTATTATGTTAATTATGATATTCAGTTAATTTTTATATTTATTACGTTATCCGGTTCAACCCCCAATAACTTCGGTCGAACCAATGAATATTAAACATTTCTTTCTTCTTTATTGATGTCCCTTTTGACTTTCACAATCTTGTAAAAAAGTACATAACAAGACTACAAAATATGTTATTGTAAGTATACATAAGATATGCAATAATAATATATGAAAAATAATAATAGATTTTTAAATTAAAGTCAATGTTGGGTGAAGTCATTTTTGATTTGCCAAGGCTTGTTTGGGTTCATTATTACTTTGATTTTTTTTTTATTTTTTTTATTTTTCGCTTTATTTTAAAAATTTAAAAACATGTATGTTTAGTATTTTTTTTTTTTTGGGATATTTTTACCTTTTATTTTAAAAAATAAATTAGTTTTCTTTTTAAAAACATTTAAAACATCTAATATTTTAAATATTTTTGGAACAAGTAAACATACTATATACATTCCCTAAGATTCTAGCAATTAGCTTTTGTGCTCAAGCAAGTTGGTTTTTTATATAGAGCCAATTAGTCTCTATTGATTTTTAGCTTGAAGCACTTTGACAAGTTTATTATGATCTCATAAATTCATTGGCAAATTCATAATGGTCTTGATGACTAGTTTGATGCGCTTCAATTAGGGGTGTAAACGAACCGAACACGAACGAACATAACATGTGTTTGTGTTCGGTTCGTTTGAAATTTAGTTTGTTTGAAATAAACTCGTGTTTGAAATTGTTCGTGAAGTCACTGTTCGCGTTCGTTTCTTAACGAACGAGCCGAACACGAGTTGTTCGCGAACGACGACCTGTTTGACATCCTTAATATTAATATATATAAATAATATATTATATTAATTATATAACTTATATTATATAAATATAAATACTAATATATTACTAATATAGTATATTAATATAATATTATTATTATTAATTTATTATATATTATAATTTATAAAATTTAATTTTTTAAAATATCATAAATTTTTATATATAATTATTTTAAATTATTTTATATTTCAAACAATAACGATTCAAACACGAACGAACGCATCAATGTTCATGTTTGGTTCGTTTAACTAACCGAACGAAAAAAAATGTTCATGTTCGTCTCATTTACTAATTGAACGAATCGAACACGAACTCATTGACGAACCGAACACGAACTGTTCGCGAACAACGAGTTTTTTTGACAGCCCTAGCTTCAACGGAGTTCATCAATTCCTTTCTTCCCACTCAGTCAACTACTTAGCTTAACAGGTTTGGTTAAGCTAACTTAACTATGGTCTATGAGATATTTCAAGCACAACTAACACGCACACACAATGATAAAATCATTATGAACACTATGATTTATATAATGTTCACCAATATAAAATCATAATTAGTTTATGTTTTAGATATTCTAATCATTTTTTGCTCTAGTAAAAATGCTATAGTAAGACACCAGATAAAAATTATAATGAGAGAAAAAGGTTCAGTTTACGTACTTTTATATATATCGTATTTAGAGTGCTTTTGATGAGAGTGAGTTATTTAAATTTTATTAAAAAATAATTCAAAAATTGTTGATGTTATTAAAACTATACAAATATGAATAAATGTGCAATTTTATAATCTAAATGTTGCTTTAATTTGTAATCATTTTATTATGGGTGTTAACTAATAGTTGTTATAGATTTTAAAGATTATTGCTTAGGTCTTAGAATTGAATGTCTCCTACATCGAATTTATGCTTTGGCATTTTTTTTTTTTTTGGGAAATTTACATGTGTAGGACACAATTCTTATGCATTTACATATGTGACGTC